CCCAATCCCTTTGCACTGCATTGAAACTCTAAGAATATTTTAGTTACTATTGCACTGGGTCTGATGCACAGGGACTGATAAACTAAAGCCCCAGAGTTTTAATTCCTGCCCCAGCTGGGTGATCTGAGTATTTTTTCAAATATTTTTCAAAGCAGCTGATCTAAAGCTCCCTGACATGTGCAGCTCTGGACCTCTCCAAGATGAGCAGGCATGAGAAAAAGACTTAGCCATTTCTCTCTAAAGGTGTGTTACCAGACTCAGCAAATTCCTGCTTTGAGCTTCCTGTCTGAGAAAAGTATTTTCAACTTCTCAAAGGAAAAAAAAACCCAACCCCAAACACATAAAAGCCTCAAAAGTAATTAACTGAATGAGTTATCATTTCACATATACAATAGCTTCCTCACAAAACATTTATTAGTAGAATAATAGAAACATTTAGGTTGGAAAAGACCTCTAAAATCATCAAGTCCAACCACTAACCCAGAACTGCCAAGCTGTCACTAGAGAATTTCCCAGATGAAGGATTCACTTTATTACAGTCATGAAACTTGAGTGGGGGGAGGGTAAATGCATATTTCTAAATCCCATTCTCCAGGTCTGCTGAACTACAGCTGAAGTTATCGTCTGTTTTCAAAGAAATTAACAAAATAACTATTGCTCAGGGGCAGACAACATGCAATTTGCTATTGAATATGGAACAACGGGTGAATCATTCTTCGATCCATCACAGCCTCCTCATTTGTTTTCATTGCAAGCTGAGCTCTTCTTTCCAAGGCAGGCTGCCAGGATCCTCAATGTCACCGGGGCTCTTTTGTAGCTGCCAGGAGCACTTCTTTTGATGGACAGTAGAAAATCATCTGGTTTTTCAATTCAGGTGCTCACTGCACAATTCAGGCAAGAGCAACTAATAACCTAGGCATTGCTGCTGCATTGATTTTTGGGCGAGGTGTTCTATCATTTAATGGCACTGAATTTAGACACAGTTGCTTTAATTTTCTCCCAAGGAAACATAATGAAATTTCTATGAAAGAAATACACTTTTCCCCAAAATTGCATCATTCTCTGTTGTTTTTTTTCCCCCTGCAATTTCTTCAAGTACTGACATTTTACTTAGACAAGACAATGAAAATTCCCATCACACTCTATGTAATCCCTCAGAATTGAATGTAAATGACTGCTCAGCAGTACCAACGGCAACTGAAAATCAGGTGGTTTTAAAAATGGACAGAATGAGGATTAACTGGAACTAAGTACATTTTGACTGGGGTATCCTCTTACCAGCATCCTACTGGATACTATTCTTCTTAGTATGAGGACTTCAGAATGTGTTGTTATAACTGAGGTAAGAAGCTCTCTCCAGTGGCACTAAGGAAAAACATTTCGTATTCTCAAAGTAAAAGAATCCCTTTTTCCTAGTGAAATGTTGCCTCTTGCTTAAAGAAAACTGACCAGGATCACACTGAGTAGAGAGATTTTTTCCTAACCTTTTTCATATAAAAATAAAACATCAAGCTGAGAGCTGAAGGCAAGCAGTGAAGGTTAGCAGTGTGGAAGTTCATAACACAGATCAGTTGGAGAGTCACCAACTTCTTTCACAGAAAGTGTAAAATGTGCCATGAAATGGAAAATAATAATTCACTCAGCAAGGTCGGTGCCCCCTGTAGGAGTTCAGCAAAGATCATTATCTCCAAGGCTTTATAATTTTATTAGTGTGTTTAATTTTGGCCCTGAGAATGAGAAGGCTGAACAGAGGTGCCTAGATGACCATTAAAAGTCGTATACCAAGGACTTCTTCCCTAGGCTCATTGGAGGTTTCCAAGCATGTAAGGAGCTCTCAGACATACTAATATCTTTAAAGAAATAAGACTAAATTTTCATTTTACCTGCTTCCTCTGAAAAAATGCTTTTCTTTGGATGAGGAGAGGAAATGAGATTAAATTATATCATCCTTTCCTAAAAAAAGGAGTATTAAAGTGTTTCTAAATTAAAATTTACAGTACCAGCTTATTAATGATGTGTGGGGTTACAGATAAAAAGAATAACACCAAATACTGCAAGAGCTCACCCCACCCTGTGCTTTGTGTTCTCTTCTTTGCCTGTAACTTTCTGTTATTGAAAACCCATTCCCTCGTCTCACTACCATATTGGAGGAAAAAAATTGTCCACAGCTGTCACTATGCACGCCTTGCCACAGTTTCCAGGCTTTGTGTTCTTATTTCCAAATACTTCCTAAACTGATTCAGTCACAAGTAGTCGGTTCAGCTCATGGACTATCAATTTGCTGTTTAGATTGAATATAAATCTATTAAGCCCATATGCCTGCTGTGTGCTGAGTGAATTAGGGACTACCCACTTGAGATACTCTGCTGGCTGCCTGGAACAAGTGGTAATGGAAAGAAACCAGTTTGTTGGTGAAAAGAGCACATCACACTCAAAGAAGAGGTTTTCCTTCCTGAGCTGAACGTGTGCTTTTCTTGCTGCTTGTCTCTCAACTAGTGTACTTTGCTGCATCTAGCTAAAGAATGAGAGCAGCATCAGTCAATCCTGCTGGAACGTCTTCTGTATCCATCTGTTTGCTTTGTAAATGGCTCCCCAAAGGGGTTCACATGCTGCTTTTCCAAATGGTGCCTATGAAACTCTATCAGTTATCATTCTATACCTAGTGGTGATCTACAACAGGTTTTTCTTGAGATGTTGTTAACTGTCAGCATAAATTGACCAAATATGCAAATGCAATTTACACATTTAATACCACTGCGGAGATGATGATTAAATTACCGTTATCACTTTGAAAACATACTGTCCCATGCAAATAGCTAACAAATTACCCAAGCACTTTGCTCAGACCTTTGCCTAAATAATGTTATTACTTGGCAACTGTGAACACATTTGGTGTCAGACACATTAATAATGCTCTGATCTCATCCCAAAGAAATTATGTCTCAGTTAAATATTTGCTTCACCAGAGGTAGAGCAGCCTTGTCGAACACTGTTGGCAAACTGCAACTTGTAAGTGCTTGAACGTGCCTATTTTTTAATTTCCCTGTGGTCACGCAGGCACATCCTGAGCAGTACCACCCTGGCGTTACAGAGGCAACACGCCAGCACGGATGCTCCGAACTGGCAGCAAACAGGGCAGAAAGGGGCTGAGAGGCTGCCTGAAGGTGGGTCTGGAGGTGGGTCATGGCAACGGGGAGCACTGGGTGCTGCGTCGCACTGGAGTGCTGAGCGTCGCTTGGGCCACGTTTCCCTTGTTCACCCTCATTGATGCTGGTCCAGGTGAGCAGGCTGGGGTCTGCATGAGGTAATTTTGGCCCAGTGTGTGTGAGGGGTGAACCTGGAGGTCAGCATCCCCGTGGTGGAGGAATACATTCAGTGCAGATGGCTCTTGCGTTCAGCTGCAGTGTGAGCTGCAGGTTGAGCTCCCGGTGGGTATGAGCCTGAGCCCAAAGCAGGAGGCTGTGAACTGTCAAGGGGTACTGGGACCTGACAGTGGCAGCCACGTGACCGGACACTCAGGATCATGGCAGGAGCCAAGGACTCCAGACTTTATTGCACTTGGACTGTGATGGTGTAAAAGCCCAGGGGCTCCTTTCTTTGGGGTCCCTCCTTGGATGCACCAGCTCAAGCTGGTTTTGTACCATGATTAAATTATTGCAAGGATTGAGACGTCTGAGATTCTGCTATGGGAAACCTGCTGGATTGGCTCCTGAATGTGCAGGCAGGGAAGTTTCCTTAACACCCACCATCCTTAACACCGTGGTCCTGTCAGTCAAGCAGCACAGGGTTCTGCTAAGGTGCTGTGCCACAACACGGTGCTTGCTGAGACCTTCGCCTGAGAGGTTGTGGGATGCCTTTGGTGAGCTCTGAGTGAAGTGGGGGGAATCCACCTGGGCACTTGGGACTTGTGATCAGAGTGATCCTGGATGTCCTTAACGGATTGAGGAATGAGATGCTGGAAAGAAATGCCACAAAAAGAGACCTGGGGGACCTGGCTGATGGCAAGTTGAACATGAGTCAGCAGTGCCCTGGCAGCCAGGAGGGCCAACCGTGTCCTGGGGACATCAGGCAAAGCATCGCCAGCTGGTCAAGGGAGGGGATTGTCCCACTCTGCTCTGCACTGGTGCGGCCTCACCTTGAGTATTGTGTGCAGTTTTGGGTGCCACAACACACAAAAGATATTAAGCTCTTAAAGAGTGTCCAAAGGAGGGCAACAAAGATGGTGAAGGGGCTTGAGGAGTGGCTGAGGTCGCTTGGTCTGTTCAGCCTGGAGAAGAGTTTGAGGAGAGACCTCACTGTTGTCTACAAAGGGTAGATAGGGGAAGAGGTGGGGCAGGCACTGATCTTTTCTCTGTAGTGACCAGTGATAGGACCCGAGGGAATGGCCTGAATTTGTCTCAGGGGAGGTTTAGGTTGGATATTAGAGAAAGGTTCTTCACCCAGAGGGTGGGTGGGCACTGGAAGAGGCTCCCCAAGGAAGTGGTCACAGCACCGAGCCTGACAGGGCTCAAGTGTTTGGACAGTGCTCTCAGGCACATGGCGTGACTCCTGGGGATGGTCCTGTGCAGGGCCGGGAGTTGGACTTGATGATCCTTGTGGGTCTCTTCCAACTCAGAATATTCTGCAACCCCGTCATGAGGTGAGCGCGTCCCGGCGGCCGCTGCCGAGCGCGGCGGGGCTGCAGCCCGGCGGCACCGGAGCTCGGCCCCGGGCAGGCCGGCGGGGCAGGGCGGGCGCTGTCCCCGCTGTCCCGTGTCCCCGCTGTCCCCGCTGTGCCGCTATCCCGTGTCCCCGCTGTCCCCGCTGTCCCCGCTGTGCCCGCTGTCCCCGCTGTGCCCGCTATCCCCGCTGTCCCCGCTGTCCCCGCTGTGCCCGCTGTGCCCGCTATCCCGTGTCCCCGCTGTCCCCGCTATCCCGTGCCCGCCCGCCGTTGCCAGGGACGCCGTTCACGACAGTGTCGCGGCGGTGCTGCCGTACGGCTGCCGCGCGGTTTCCGGCGGTCCGTGCCGATGGCGTCGGGGCTGGAGAGCGAGCGGAGCCGGGAGCAGCGGGAGCAGCGGGAGCAGCGGGAGGCACTGCTGGCCCAGGTGGGGGGCCTGGCCCGGCCCGGCCGTGCCCCGGTGCTGCTCAGTCCCTTCCGTCCCCCAGGCTGGGCGCTGGGTGCTGCGCGGGGTCAGCGCGCTGCCGGGGGCCGCTCTGGGGGGCCATGCCCTGGGAGAGCCCCTTGTGCGCCAAGGGGAGCCGGGGTGCGGCACCGGGAGCGGCAGGACGCAGCCGGGAGCTGAGTTCGTGCGTTTTGTCGCTCGTGGTGTTGATTCGTGTGGTGGTTCACTTCCTGCGCGTTTCTGGGCTTACACCTTTGAAAAAGAGCCAGGGCCGGTCGTCGGTAAAAATCTCTCTTCAGATTTTTATATACACTGATGACACCAGCCCCGCTCCCCGGCCTTCTCTAGGCTAAACAGCCCCAGGTCCTAGCCTTTCCTTAAATGAGGCATAATAGGCAACTCCTACTTGTCTTGCTGGCCTGTATTTTCTAAGGAGTCCATATCTCTCCATTTCAACACTATGGTCACGGAAGTGAAGTGGGGGGTGTGTGTGTGTTAAGAAGTGTGACAGCCTGTTTTCATGGAGTCACTCTGTTACTTGCTTGGCTCTGTGTTGCTGTAGTGGGAGCCAAGAATTAGAAGGCTCCCACTCACAGGTGCTTTGGTGGAGTTGCTGTGACTTGGAGACCTGTGCTGATCCTGACCCATTCCGTTCAAAACCTGTCTATGTGCCACGTTTGGCACTTGTGCCGATTCTTGTTTTAACCTGTGGGTAGAGTGAGTGCTGGTGTCACAAACGGCACATCAGTTGGGTGACGTGATTTATTTTGAAGTTTGAGGAGCAGGGGATAGAAAACTACATAGGTAGAAACTACACAGAAAGAAAAGTGTATGAGGAAGACAGGTTATGGAAAACGTATGAGGTTGTGAGGATGGGCTTTTTATAGAAGGAAGGACAGGGTAAGCAGCAACCAAATCTTACTGGGCAAAGATATTTTCACAAAAAAAAAATAAAATAGTGGGAAAATAGAAAAGCCATCACTGACATGTAAGTTTCAAGCTATTCAGTGGCCTGAATAGCTTGAAACTTACATGTCAGTGATGTCTTTTCTCAAGGCAAAGCAGAGAGAGGACTTTACCTAATTCATCATATGGGCATCTCCCTTGTACATTTGTGGAACTGTTTCTTGTTTCTAGAAGTTCTCTTCAGTGATTTCCCCCTTCCTGATGAGCAGTTGAAGGGAAATTCCTTTAATTTAGTAACAGGGAACCATACTCCCCTGCAAAAGTTTGTTATTGTTGTCTTTTGCTGTGTTGGAATTGCTGTGTGACATGTTTAAGAATGCTCCTTTGCTTAGTTCAACCTCTTGAATGTTCATAAACACACTTAAAGGGAAGCAAAACTTATGTAGGACACTGTTATCCTGCTTTGCCTTTACATTTTCTTCTCAGTTGGTGCCATTTGTATTTGCGTAGAATCCTAGGACAGCACTGGTTGAAAAGGCCTTGACAGATCACTTGGTCCAACCCCTGGTGGGGTGGGGAGTCTAGATGAGATTATCTAGTGCTCTGTTGAGCCATGCCTCGAAGAACTCCAGTGTTGGGGTTAAGGAAATTTCCTGTCTGACCATCCAGGAGCCACTCTGGCAGCCACATTCCCACCACCTGAGACTTTCCCTGCTGAGACTGGAGCCCCTTCCTAGCGGGTGGCTCCTGTGAGCCGATGGGTGCCCCACTTGACTCCCTACACTCCCCACTCACACAGTCAGACCTGGTTTCCTTACTGGCTCAGCCCCATATTTCCCACAGTAGAGTCTCCGGCCTCTGGATCCTTAAGACAGTTTAATGATGGTGCAAAACACAAAACCATCTTGAGCTGGTCCTTCAAACAACACAGTCCTCTGGGCTTTTATACCCTTAAAGTCTATGCAGTGTGATAGTCTGGGGTATTCCTGCTGAGTCCTGGGCTCCTGCTGTGTCTTCCAGTGTCTGTTCTCCTGGCTGGTCCCACAGGGCCCTATGCCCTTTGCTGTGCAAAGGATTGGCACCGGTTCATGGCCTCTCACCTGGGGCTCTCGCCATTTCCCACCACCCAGGGCACAACCTGGAGCCTTCACTGCAGCTACACCGAGCTACCTGCACTGAATGCATTCCTCAGCAGGGATTCCACCTGCTGTGGAAAAGGCAATGAATTTGTGTTTAACCTCTCGTCATATTTAGATAAGTCTCAATTTATGGAGGCAGGAAAGCTGAGGAGGGAGGTTTGGTTGCTGGAGAAACTACAGCAATGAGCCAAAATCGGTCTCACAGAGGAAGGGTTGATGTCGGGGATGAAGCAGTTCTTCATGGTGAGGATGTGTGGGGGAAAGAGGCACAGGTTGGTTTTGGCAGAGTTTGAGTTGTTACTAGAAAGCATGGTATCTTGAACGTGGCATCTCAAGAGGAACTGAACAGCCTTGGAGGAGGTGGGAAGAAAGTATTCAGAGATGGCCATGGTACAGGCTGTTCAAGGACACTAAAGGTTTTGAAATGAGGAAAAATAGGCTGAAAATAAAGTTAATTCGAGAGAGTTCTTTGAAATCATTAGGTGATATGGAGAAGGAAATGGAGAATTGCTGTCTGCTGTTTCTTTCGACTCAAGAACTAGGTTGTATTAAGGGATCTGCAGGTAGCTGGCTTAGAGCAGACAAAAGAGTGAACTTTCAGATGATGCACAGAGAAATTGTAGGATCTCTTGTATAGCATGTTGTGAATACTGACACTCCACTTCCATCCAGATGATTATAGCCTAAAAGCAAAACTGTATGTTACTGAAAGTTACTGACTGAAAAGTTGCTGAGCCTCAAATTCCTGGAGGATACAGGAATGTTTTGGAGATGGCTCACTTGGACTTAACCCTGTATTACACTCTTGTCAGCTTCCATGGGCATTGCTGGACATTTTTCAGTTGGGATACTAGCTTAGATTTTCAGTTCTGAGAATGTCAGAGCTCTCAGAAGTCCAATATAGGGAAACAGAAGGGAGTATAATTTGTGAAATACTAGGCTCTATGGTTCTTCAAGTCCATTTTTGTGGAGTGTCGTAAGGGATCTGGAGACAATGATGTTGCTTTCTACAGGATATAACCATTAGAGATACTTGATTCCCCCACTGAGAAACTTCTGTGATGTGACTTTTCATCTTCATACTGGAAATGCGCATTATAGAGTCTGTGTTATTTTTCCATGGTGTTTATCTTTTCACTTCCAAGCAACCTAAAGCTAATTCGGATTCTCAGATTTTCAGGGATTCTCCTATTTTCAGGGGTTCTCCTGGGTGCGTTGGGTAGCACTGAAACATAAATTAATGATCAAATGGTTTTCTTTGCTGCTGCTTGTGGAATTGCTGTGTTCATCATCTTATGTATGCCCTTGAACTGTTTCTTTTCCTTACAGTAAGAACTAAAACTTGTAGTAAGCAGAGGACATGTTGAAGGTTAGAAGTTTCCTCCCACCCCCTTTTCTGTACCAGAGTTTTAGAATGTGTTAGCAAAAGTCCTGTACAAGTCCATATGGAAAAAAGGAGGCTGTAGAGGCTCCTTTATCACTGATTTAACTGTCAGAGAATTTTAAGAATGAAACTTTTTTTAAAAACTTATTGCATATTCCCTTTTCTCATTTATGGACCCAATAACCTAATATTAAGCTATGTAAAAGGACAACATTTTAAGACTTCTCTTGTAGCTACTCTGTTATTTCTGTGAAAATCAATTTATCATTTTATAATGTGAAAGCATGAGGATGTCATAGTTGCCATGTCAGTACTCTGCTGTGTGCAGTTTTGGGTGAACAATATAAGAAAGATATTTAAGCTCTTGGAGAGTGTCCAAGGAGGGCAACAAAGATGGTGATGAAGAGCTTTGAGGGGGAGCTGTATGAGGAGCGTCTGAGGTCACTTGGACTGTTCAGCCTGGTGGAGACTGAGGGGAGACCTCATTGCAGTTACAACTTCTTCATGAGAGGAAGAGGAGGGGCAGGAACTGATCTGTTCAGTCTGGTGACCAGTAACAGAACCCAAGGGAATGGCCTGAAACTGTGTCAGGGGAGGCCGGATAATAAAGAAAGGTTTTTCACCCAGGGGGTGGTTGGGCACTGGAACAGGCTCCCCAGGGAAGTGGGGATAGCTCCAAGGCTCTCAGAGTTCAAGAAGTGTTTGGACAACACTTTTCAGGCACATAGTGTGATTCTTGGCATTGTTCTGTGCATGACCGGAACTCGGACTTTGATGATCCTTGTGACCTTCCAACTCTGGATATTCTATGATTCTGTGAACAGAACTGGGGGCAAACTGCAAGGCTTTATCTCAATGTGTTTTGACTGTTTTGCTTACAAAGGCAGAAAGAGATGTCAGTTATTTGGTGGTTGCAGTCCTGGAAGCTTCTGCCTTTTACTTTGGGAAAGACATTTGGGAAGCTGTATAGATCTTTGCTTCTGATAATCTGAGATGTTTGCAGTCATAACTGTACTTCAGCAGCTCTGTTTCTGCAAAGATGAGATATTCAACTAACTCACATCGAGAAGCTTTTCATTTTGAAATATGAAATATTGAACTTTTACTCTTTTGAAAAAGCAGCATGTCACTGAATTCATTGATTAAGATTTCTCTTCTAAATTTTGGAAGTGTATTCTTCTATTTGTGTAGTCTGGCTTCCCAACTGCACTGGTAAAACCCAACAGCTGGTAATGTTTATGATAATGATCAGTAATCAAATAATTAAGTGTTGACATGCAAATTGTTATTAAGCGTCAGAAATAGCATCTTGTTTTGATGAGCCTGATAGTTCATGACACTGCTGTTTTGGTTTACAAGTTTACAGTAAGAAAATAATCTGATGGGTGTTTTGGTAAGTGCAGGGATATGTACTTTTCCTAGACATGAACACTTCTTCTCTTGGTAAAATCTATCAAGATTTCAATTTTGGGTTATTCTGTCCTCTGTGCTATCATATTTTCTGTATTTTAGGGTTACTCTTCTGTTACTGGATTTTTTTTTTTCCATGGACT